GCCTACGCTTTGATGCAATAGATATCCGTTTTAGCGCGTTTCAGGGTGTAAACGAATTAAACCGTCACTAGTTGGCGAGAGGTCGAGAAATTAATGCGTATTGGCTCGCGACTCTGAGATTGTGTCTTACCTATCTCCGGCGAGGATCAATATTTCCTTAGAACACGATTAACGTTTAATTATCGTTTATCGGCTCAATGGCGGTGCCGTTGCTTGTTACAGCGCGAGCAACTAATATCGAACGAATTTAGATTCGGTGTGCATACTGTGTCGGTGCTTTGAGGAAATCCCTTTCGTAATAGCACGTAATTGTTTCTTAATAATCGTACTCGACTATTGCGAGCGTACAGTCACTCGCGAGTGTCGTCTTTCTACGCTGATTCGTAGTAGCACGATTTTTCAAAAGAGAAAAAATAAAGAACAAAACGAAATTCCATAAAATTTTGCTTGTTAAATTAAAATAAAATTATTCTGTATTAAAAAGTGAAGATTTCTCGATGAAAGGTATTAGAGTAATACGTTGAAGAATTTGCTCTAGAGAGCTGAGATACTCGTAGCTAATATCCAACAGCTATATAACTGAAGCTTCCGAAAGAATCTGTTCAACTCGCCACTTTGTCTTCCAAGTTCTTTTATTAAGAAGTTATTTACCGTCAGCGTGAAAAGTTGTTTGCTCGGTTCAATGTAGTGCTAGATCAAAGTTCTCGAGAAATATTGATATGATCTACGATTCAATTCCTTCGCATTTCATATTGAGCCATGCAGCGAAATCAATAGCTGCGTGAAAATTTTCAGGAATAAAATTCACTGGGAAAGTATGAAATGTTACGTTCGATTTCACATGCCGCTATTGGTCACATATATTTTCGAACGTCTCCGGGTTTACGATATTATCTCACGTCGTCATGTACTCCACCATAACGGAGCTCACCGTATTCGAACGAAAATTACTTCGATCGTTACGATTAATTGACACTTATATAATTTATTCTGTATCCTCTACACTTGTTCCGAATCTTTTACATTATTTGTCAAACGCGACAGATCCTTCGTTTGTTTCCTGAATTATTTGCTGCGACGAGCGCGTCTGGAAATTATTTAGAGAAAGATTTTTGGTGAATTATTCAAAAAAAGAATTTACAGTCACGGGAGGGGATGAAGATTTCCCTCAGACAGCAGGAATTTCATATTTTCATAGGACGCGCGCATTTCTGGAACTTTAACCTTTCGTCTCAGCACCGATCACGATCGACGTGCCATAAATTCACAATGTGGCATATGTAGCCAATGGTCTTACCAGAATTGCAATTTTTGGGTCCAGTTTCCGACCATCTTCCGCATAATAAACCCTTGGATATCGCTTACGAATATATGAATCGAATATATTTCGATTGCTGACGTATCTTATTGTGCGGGCATCTACATGTTGTATTTAAAGTATCCTCTATAAATGTTTTAGATGTGTTTCGTTAAAAAAAGAGAAAGAATTCGTGACGATAAATAGTTGTGAGATAGATAAATAATTCAGACAATTTTTAACTTAGAAAAAATTACTTGAATTATTCACAAGGGAAGACGAAAAGTTTCGACAGAAATAAGTTTCGATTAATTGTAGCATAATATTTATGCATTTAAATGGATCGAAGTATGCGAATAAAATATGTGAAGTACGAAAATACTGTGTATGAATGTATAAAGAGATATGTGCGATGATGTGCGTTGAAAATATATTATAATAGGCGAATATATAGAGAACTGCCGAATAAAATGTCGAGCATTTTTTTCCTATACATACGTATTTTTGTCAGTTAAAATTAATTCATTATTTTATTATTTACCGTTCAACGTTATGTGCTGTTCATACACAAATTTATTCCAGTTTTTTAAACTCCATTGCCTCCTGAATATTCAATTTACCTTTTAAAATTTCATCGGTTCATCCTATGCTTTTTAATCGAAATTTCTCTTCGAAACTGGACATTTCGGCCCGAAGAGAGTCCTTTCTCCGTGATGTTCTCGGCCCGATTTCATTCATATAATTTCTAAACGTCGATCAATTTGTCTGCTTCAAGATTCGAAAAACTTAAACAAATTGAAATTCCGTGACAACATTGTTTCCATGAAACGTGTGCAAGTTTACATTTAATAAAAAAAAAATCTATTGAAAGATACAATTGAAACACTTCCAAGTGTATTCTGTTGCAATTATAAACATTGCGCATTATCGGAGAATTCGAAGATAACACGCAAAACTGTACAGAATACACATATATATATATATATATATATAATACAATATATATATAATGTATATATAATATATAATGTATATGTAATATATAATGTATATGTAATATAATGTATATGTAATATAATATATATAATATATAATATATAATGTAATGTAATATAATATATATAATATAATATGTATAATATATATATATAATATAATATAATATATATAATATATAATATATAATGTATATGTAATATAATGTATATGTAATATAATATATATATAATACAATATGAACTGTAACAAAATACAGAACTTCTAAGATTTCTTTCAAATAAAATTTTGTTAATAGGACACCTGTTAATTTTTTCACCTAAAATACTCTCAGAGCTTCTGGAAAGAAGCTCTCGTTACTCACAAGATGATCAAATATCCGTCGTTGCCTGAAACACGCCCCTTCAATGTCCATAATATTATATTTCTCGAGCATCCATCATCAAATTATTCTACAAGACTTCAACCTTTCACTTTGTCATTGACTACGCTCTCGAAGCCCTATCTGCATACGCGCGAACATCGCTTCGCTAGCAATCTCATTCCCGAGCGTCGTTAGAATACAGAAGTATAGAGCCGTTTCGATCTCGAGACTTTGTCCCTTTTATTTCCATGGGACAAGCAGGACGAGCGTTTGCCTTAGATACTCGGGGGTGATCGAACGAAGGAGGGTGAAATCACGAGACTAAGGATTTTGCTTCCCGAGAAATATAAAGAGGCTGGCTTAGTCGCCGCTTGACCCGCTTACCGTTAACTCGGCCCATTCAACGGGGGCGAGTTTCTCTCGAGTACTTTGCAAACTTTAGCGCGCTTCCAGGCAGGGTTATAAGTATAAGTAGCAGTAAGTAAGTAAGCGTGTACACCACGGTTATGCAAAGCGTTCACCGTTGACGGGATACTTAAGACGAGGACCTTTCGTGTTGCAGATTTACCCAGGTTTGGCACACCGCTCAACAATCTGACGGTCTCCGTGGGTCGCGAAGCCGTTTTCACCTGCATCGTGGAAAATCTTGGCCCGTACAAGGTAAGACTCGACAACACTCGACGACAAAGCTCGCTTCATCTTTAAGGCGGCCGCCGCGATCGTTTTCTAATTGCCCCTGCCTGCGAACTGCGAACAAACTCTGGACAAACAGCGTTTTCACCAACGGGACAAATAATTCTCGAGATAAGTTTCCTCGTGCTGCGAGGGTGTCTGCATAAGTGGCATAAAATGTCTATAGACGTGTGTATATTAGCAAGAGCAAGTGGGAGAATTTCTTTTTCTGTTCGCTTTTCGCGCAACGTTAGGCACAAGTATGTGATATTAAAATTCCAGGAATATCAAAGTAACAGGAATGCACATTTTAAATTCCTCCGCTTTATCTTGTTATTTGCGCTAACTGGTCGTCGTTCAATTTCGCGTATTTTGTTGTGTAACGTAGTGTACGTATATTATGAATACGTTATCGATTTAATTGCGGATTTGATTATTAATTATTCACTCTCAATTGCTATCGTTGACTTATAGATTAATTTCGATTAAATTCGAATTGCCGAATTATTTAATTCGCAACTACGCGCACGTGAAAATAGAATGGGCTAGCTTAAGCCTGGCTTGCAAATCTGTTTAGCAAATTTCGAATGAGCCGAAGCTTATTGCATAGTCTCGAAAAATTTCCGAATCGAACAGATGAAGTAATTAAACTGTTTCAGGGTGTTTGTATAATTTCAGTTTCAATCTTGACAATGACGAAACAATAGAGACGGAGGAGAAAGATGTTAAAGATGCGACCTTGAACGACCGTAGCAGCTTCATCGATTTTTCAAAAGAAAAAGAAAAGAAAAAGAAAAACGCAAATACCGCGAAGCAAACGAAGGAAGGAACTT